TGTCTCCTTTTTTTCTGGTGGCAGTCTCAAATGAAATACAGGAAGGTACTGTAAATAAGATAATGTGGTATTAAAAATGTTATAATTTCATTGGTAAATTCACATTAATTGAAGATGAGATCATAGTGACTCCTTCTGGCTGTTGGAATGATCATCATAAAATCATATGAAGAAAAAAATAACGAAACACTTGGGTGTCATTCAGCAAAATTGAACAGGCACCAAAGATTTAGAAGGTTCCCCTGAAACACAGAAGAAGCTTTTCCCCTATGATGCAAGGCTCAGGCTCCTCAGAGAAGGCTTAAAGGTTTTGACAACAATATTAATGATACCCTTGTAATTATTGCAGTTGTTATGTATGAAAGGAACATGATGACGTTTGATCAGAAGTAATATTTTCAATGGGAGCAGAATTTAGATATCTGGATTTTGGTTGTGTGGTTCAGTACCAACAAAAAAAGAAAATAACATCTATTGACACAAAAGGAAAAGTGAGAAGGATTGACTTGTCAGGCAAAATAGAAGAATTTCAGTGGCGCTTAAAAAATACAGAGAGATTTGGGTATGAATTGACTTCTTAACAAAATTGAATGCTAAGTTTGAAAGGCAGATAATAGCCTCAACACTGTACTTCATGTGCAAAGTTTTTAGGGAAAACAAGTCACAGATTCTAAACCATTTTGAGGAATAGTTGTTTAAAATGGCATGATGAAATGTTGCATTTCTTTCCCTGTAGTTGACCCTTATTATGTGTTTGCCCTTCTTTGGGCTCCAGTTCTCAGATCATCTTCAATTTGAAGATCTCCCTGTCAGCAGGTGTGCTTTCTGGTTTGTAATCATTGATAAGCATCTTCCACACTGGACTTATTAAACAGATGTGTTGATGGATTCTGTTTTGCTTTCTGTACCAGTTTATTCCTCTGACTTTATTGGTTTGGCATATAAAACAAGTACAGCCAAGGCCAGGTATAGCTAATGAAAGAGCCGTATGGTGTGACAGCACAAGATGGAGACCTGTTGAATTAAAGGTAGTTTTGGGTTGAATGTTGATATTGGCATGCCTTACTGCAGTAACACTTCGTATCTTAGGTTGGGCTGGTTAGTGACTTTGAACAGCTTATCAGCAGAACTTTTTCACCTGTTTGTTTCACAGACTACTTCTCTGCACTTCAAGGTATTACATCAGTCTTAGATTATCTGAAACATATCTTTCCTGACCCTCAACACTGTCTTGACCCTTATCTGAAAATGTAGTGGCAGTCTGCTGGGACAGCATCGCTTTCAGTCCCTGCAGAGCAAGACTTTTATATGTTAATAGCTTCATTTTGTATCAGGAAATTTTTTAGCCGTATCAGTCCACCAGCTTGCAGTCTGGCAAGCATCAAGGCACAGTGTACATCCAATTTCTTTTTCAGATTTTTCATTAGAAAAAGCATAATCATGGTATAGCCTATGCAGTTTTATTTCAGAGGCTGATTTGGCAGTTACTGTTTTTACAAAGATTTTTAATTTTTGGAAGCACTAGAGAAAGCGGAGGGTATCCATTCAAGTATTCATTAAGTTGCTCTTTTTGTGGAAGAAGTTGATTTGAAGGATGTTTATTTGGAGGATGTTGGGGCGTTTAATTTGACTTAAGAAGCAAATACAGATAATTCAGATACCGCATTATAATAAAGCTGAGATGAAATAACTTTTTGTGTTAGAGGCAGCCTGCAAAGAACTTGGTTGTTTTGCTGTTAAAGGTGTTTAACTATCATGGCTTTAAACAGCAATAAATTGTCCACAGAGCCTGATAAGTTATCTGCTGCTGTGATCACCTTTCCAAGTGTGCCCTGGCTCCTGGCAATCAGATGACCCAGGCCTGCGAATAAATAAATGAGTAAAGAGAGAAATCACAGATTTATTTTTTTTTTTAAATGTATATTCAAGATGAATTAGTTGCTTGTGTTAACCTCAGTTGGATTGCTGCTGTGGTTTCAACTATCAGGACTCAGCAAAAGGTTTTCCTTTGCTCAGAGTTGGATTCCTCCATAATCTGCAAAAGACTAAACCAAGTGGAATCAACTGAGGAGAAAATCATTTACAAGGTGAAACCTTTTTGACTTGATTGGTTCTCTAGTTAATTGCATCTGTTGCTCAATGAAAGGTTTCAAAAGCATTGCAGCATGTGTTAGGTTGTGTAGGTACCACTAGGACCATTGAGCATGTATAGAGTTCATTATACCGACTTAAGCCCCTTAGCAAACTTTCTGTCTCATGTTGCACAGCTATGGTTGAAGTCCCTTCATTAAGAAAGCATTATCCAGAGCAGAGAAAGTCAGGACATTCTGAACATCAGGAAACACGTTTTCACTGAGGCAATTGTTGATCACTGGACCAGGCTGACAGAGAGGCTGTGGAGATGTTCAGAGTCCAGCTGGATACAGGCCTGGGCCACCAGTTCTAGGTTGCCCTGCTTGAGGAAGCAGGGTAGACCAGATGTTCTAAAAACGTCCCTGGCAATTTCAACTACTCCATGGAAATTTTATTGTGGTTATAGTAGACAAGTAGTTTCTCTTTCAATGAAAGAAGTTGAAAACTAAAAAAAAAAAAACCCAACAAAAAAATCCACAACCAAGAAACCCAAAAGTTGTTGTTGGGCACCTTGGCATGAGCTGATTCCCAGGGAAGCACATACGTAGACCAGTACATCAATGCTGACCTTACCATAAGCGTAGTAATTTTCTTTTTTAACTTCAGCTTTTCATAGTTACAGTACTGAAATATGAAAACAGCACTAATAAATGGTACTGTACCATTATCCTTTGAACACTGTGGGGTTTTTTAAAACATAACTGGCATTTTTAGGGGTGTTGTCTTAAAGCTACCTGGACTTGTGCAAAATGTTCGACACTGTCCCATGTGACATCCTTGTCTCTAAATTGGAGAGACATCAATTTGACAGGTGGACCACTCGGTGGATAAAGAACTGGCTGGATGGCTGCACACAAAGAGTTGTGGTCAATGGCTCAGTGTCCAGCTGGAGACCAGTAACGAGTGGTGTCCCTGAGGGATTGGTTGGGACCGGTCTTGTTCGACATCTTTGTCACTGACATGGACAGTGGGATTGAGTGCGCCCTCAGCAAGTTTGCTGACGACACCAAGCTGTGTGGTTCGGTTGCGTTGTGGTTTAAGCCCAGCCAGTAACTCAGAACCATGCAGCCGCTCTCTCATACCTCCCCCTTCCTCCACCCGGCTCCCAGAGGGATGGGGAGGAGAATAGAAAGAGTGTAACTCCCATGGGTTGAGATAAGAACAGTCCAGTAACTAAGGTATAACACAAACCACTGCTGCTACCACCAATAATAATAATGAGAAGGGAAATAACGAAAGGAGAGAATACAACCGCTCACCACCCGCCGACCGATACCCAGCCCGACCTGAGCAGTGATCTAGCCCTTCTGGGTAACTGCCCCCAGTTAATACACTGGCCATGACGTGCTATGGCATGGAATACCTCTTTGACTAGTTTTGGTCAGGTGTCGCGTCTCTGCTTCCTCCCAGCTTCCCTTCCTCCCTGGCAGAGAATGAGACTCAGAAAGTCATTGATCAGAGTAAACATTACTGAGCAGCAGCTAAAAACATCGGTGTTAACAGCGCTGTTCCCAGGCTGAAAGTCAAAAACACAGCGCTGCACCAGCTACTAAGAAGGAGAAAAATTACTGCTACTGGTGAACCCAGGACAGGTTGATACGCTGGAGGGATGCCATCCAGAGGGACCTTGACATGCTTGTGACCTGGGCTGATGCCAACCTCATGAAGTTTAACCATGCCAAGTGCAAGGTCCTACACCTGGGTCAGAGCAATCCCAGGCACAGCTACAGGTTGGGCAGAGAAGAGATTCAGAGCAGCCCTGTGGAGATGGACTTGGGGGTGTTGGTCGATGAGAAACTGAACATGAGCCGGCTTCAGTGTGCACTCGCAGCCCAGAAAGCCAACCGTATCCTGGGCTGCATCAAAAGGAGTGTGACCAGCAGGTCAAAGGAGGTGATCCTGCCCCTCTACTCTGCTCTTGTGAGACCTCACTTGGAGTATTGTGTGCAGTTCTGGTGTCCTCAACATAAAAAGGACATGGAACTGTTGGAACAAGTCCAGAGGAGGGCCATGAGGATGATCAGGGGACTGGAGCACCTCCCGTATGAAGATAGGCTGAGAAAGTTGGGGCTGTTCAGCCTGGAGAAGAGAAAGCTGAATGGAGACCTCATAGCAGCCTTCCAGTATCTGAAGGGGGCCTATAAGGGTGCTGGGGAGAGACTTTTCATTAGGGACTGTAGTGACAGGACAAGGGGTGTAATGGGTTAAAACTTAAAGAGGGGAAGTTTAGATTGGATATAAGGAAGAAGTTATTTACTGTGAGGGTGGTGAGGCCCTGGAATGGGTTGTCCAGGGAAGTTGTGAATGCTCCATCCCTGGCAGTGTTCAAGGCCAGGTTGGACAGAGCCTTGGGTGACATGGTTTAGTGTGAGGTGTCCCTGCCCACGGCAGGGGGGTTGGAACTAGATGATCTTAAGGTCCTTTCCAACCCTAACTATTCTATGATTCTATGATTCTCAGTTGTCTTTTCAAAGTTTAAGGGGGGTTAACTTTTTGTAATCTATTAGTGTTCATAATATAACACGTTTTAATACTTTTTTGTAATTTTGTCTTTTCTCATCTTTAACTCGGGGAATGATTAATGCTGTTGTTATTTTGGTATGATAACAGTGAATTTCCCAAGTTTGGTATGCTTAGTCATAAATATGCTAATGCTAAGTAATTGTTATATGCCTCAACTGGATAAATGCCTTCCCATGTAATGGCTCTGGTGCTTGTCTGTTTGTTTTTAACAGCAGCTAATAAATTAGTGTAATTAATGCACAGTTTTACTTTGTGCCTTCTTAATTAAATATAGATTTAAAAAAAAAAATCCTTAGTCTAGTTGGAACTAACCTGGCGTATGTATGTTTTGTGTTTTTCTTCAGATCCTTGTTGACGATGGTGGTCATTGGAGGCATAAATATTGAAGAATATATCACTTACAGACAAGATCTTTGAAATCCGTTCCCTTCCACCAGCAAAGGTACATAAAATAATCTATATTATGCGTTTTTATGTAAGTAATAAATTAGGTTTTTACCTTCAAAATAAGCAAAATTGAATAGCAGCTGAAGTTTAGGAGTTTGACCACAGTTCAAGTTTCAGCTTTTTTTAGGAAGTTTATTTATTCTACTGATGTGAAAAATCAGCTAAATTAAAAGAGCTGCATTTCTTTTCTTCCTTGTTAGTTACAAGAGTGTGAGTCCTTAGTTTGTTTTCCACAGAGGAAAAAAGTGTCAATCTTTTGGCAATTTCTATAAGAAGTTTAGAAATGTGGCTTCTTTTTAGTTAAATTTTAGAGACACGAATCCAATGTGCTCTGTACTTGTGCTGTTTATTTTGAATGTGTGAAGTTTTGAGCAAAACGCATGTTAGGTATTCAGGAGAGTTATGTTTTTGTTTTATTTTTTCTATTTTGAAACTAACTATAAAAAACACTCTAGATAATGTGGGAAGGATTTTTTCTGTTATGGAAATAGAGCTAATATTCCCACTCATTATCAGTTGTTAATTTAATGTGTGGTAATAGCTGGAATTTAGTGATGATTATATGGTAGTAGATTTTTGGTTAGCTGTACAGCTCATCTATGAGCAAACCAATTAAGACATAATTTCAGAATATAATTGAACTCCTAGTGGGACACTGGAATTCACTAGAAATTTACATACTTGCTTTTCTTTGTTTTAGTAGACAGGTCCAAAATGAGGTACTACTTCACTCTTCTGAATACAGCAACTTCACCTGAGACTTTGCAAAGTGAAGCATGTAAAATAAAGTTAAATGGATAAATAATTTAATGAATAAGCAATTTAGTTTCCAAATCTGATCTTTGAATCGCTCTTATTAGCTGTTTATTTGAAGAATAAAACTTACTTTGTTGTTAGGACGCTGTGACCCTGTTGATGTTCTTTTCACCTACACTGCAAGACAGTGTGGTGCAACACAGTGAAAACCCATTTACTTTAGTACAAAGTTTGTTCAGCATTCATAACTCATTTTCGGTCTTTATGCATGTCCAGGCAGCCTCGATCTGCCGGGAAGGGGCTTATTTGGATGTCTTTATAACTGTTTCTTTTCAAGCAATATCAACAGAAAATCACTGGAATTGCATAGTTAGTGCATGGATGCACTACCATGCATAGAACGTCAGGGCTGGGGCACACAGGGTCAGATTTCTGTCTCACATCTGTGTTGAAAAATTAAGTATTTCATTTATGCAGTGTTTGCAATGCATTTTGTTTTATTGCCCCTTCAAGTATCTATTTACGGAAGTCAGAGCTTTTGTATGAAACCCCTTTTTTCCTTTTTAGTTTTTTTTTCAGCCCAAGTTTACCTGCAAGGGCACTAAGCCTCTACTTGGGTATATCACCAAAGGTGGTGGATGCTGGCAGATGCATCAATGCTAATGCAGCCCTGGTGCCATTGGGTTTGCGTCATTCTAAGTTTGCTCAGCTCCCAGATGATCCTGTAAGAGAACAGCAGATGGGAAAGAGTTAAAAAGTGGGGCATGTGTAACTGACCTGTGTGATCTAAAATAAGGAAACAGTAGCTGTTTGTTAGAGAAAAGCTCAAATTAAGAAAGAAATTAAGGCATTTCTCTTCCCCCTTGCCCCCCCCCCCCCTTTTTTTTTTGACCCCCCAGAAGGGAAAACCTTTTGCATTTAAAAGATGAACACTACTGAGCTGAGAGAGGTTATTTATACCTCTGCCATCTTGAAGTTAATTTTTTTGAGTTTGTTTTGGTGTTCCTGTTTCCTTCAAGGACAGACCTTTGCATATATTTTTATTTGTTCTAAAATGGGGGCCTGAGACATTTGGCAAAGGAAAGCCAAATGTTTGGAGGGAATAATTATCAAAGCTTGCATTTGAGTTAAGAAGAAACATTTTTTGTAGGTGAAAAACTAGAACAGGGGAAGTATTTCTTCCTGTAAAGTTAACGTTTGACTGGTTATTTCCTTAATGTTTTAATATATATATGTGGATAAACCTCAGGATGTTCTGCGAAAGCAAAACAAAACATTTAGTTCTCGCTCTCAGCATCTTAGCTTTTAATTTTTACTCTGTCTACCAGAGTAAATATCACAGCTGTATAGGTATGTGCAGACATTGTTTCTGTTCCATTTGATCTATTTTTAAATGCAGGAACTTTTTGTATTTAATATGTATTATTGTGCTTGCAGTCTTAATACTTCAAAACCTTAGTGACCTTGCTTCACCCACTTGCACCTTGTCCATTATCATGCAGTCTTTAATTATGTGATAACATGCCATTTTTCTCAGTAGAAGGAAATCCTTAAATAGATGGCATTTAATCAGTGTGCAGCTATCCAGTATTTTTAATTGTTCAGTGTGTCGTTCAAGATATTCCACACTCTGTATAGTTTTGAGACCTTGCTCTGCAGATAGAATTAGGGCTTGGCCTTCATGTTTAACTGTACCTTTAGCAACAGGTTTTCACTGAAGAATATCTGGCAAACCCAATCTCTGAAGTCAAGGTTATTTTGCAGAAACATTTTCCGTTGTAGGAGCTTTCCTTGCGCTCTTTTGAAGGGCTGCTGAGATTTGTATACTTTTTACATTAGTTGCAGAACTGGAGTACTCACTCCATGAAGATTCTTTGAAGTCAGGAAAGTGGGATCAGTGATCCTCCATGAAGACAATAGGAATTGAAAGTATTGATCTTCATACAGGAGGTGCTCCAGTCCCCTGATCATCCTCATGGCCCTCTTCTGGACTTGTTCCAACAGTTCCATGTCCTTTTTATGTTGAAGACCCCAGAACTGCACACAATGCTCCAAGTGAGGTCTCACAAGAGCAGAGTAGAGGGACAGGATCACCTCCTTTGACCTGCTGGTCACACTCCTTTTGATGCAGCCCAGGATACTGTCGGCTTTTGGGGCTGTGAGCGCACACTGAAGCCGGCTCATGTTCATTTTCTCATCGACCAACACCCCCAAGTCCTTCTCTGCAGGGCTGCTCTGAATCTCTTCTCTTCCCAACCTGTTCCTTTTATGTCTGATGTCCTGCATCTTTGTTTCTATTCTCCCTCATCCGCGTAATTTCTAATGTCAGACAGTTTCTATTTCAAGTTCATTACCCATTCTCACACAGTACTTATCTTCCTTCATTTCACTTATGCTCTAGAATTGCAGTTCTATTCTGGCCCCAGATTTGCACCCTTTTTTCTCAGGGTGGGTCTGCACAGATTGGTGTTGAAGGTTGCACATCTTTCTACCCATACTCTTGAGTTAGCTGATGCAAGTCAACTTCAGTACAACAGTCTTGTAGCTGCTTGGGCATGACTGAAGTGCTATGGAGGAGCAGTCTGCCTCTGTAGTGTGCTAGTAAGGTGGCACACAGCCATAGTGCCAGGATCAGCCATCTGCCAAATGGTGTCCTTGCTATGGTGTGGATGTGCATTGCTGTCTCGCATTTCCAGAACTGTAAATTCCAAAAAGCTTTAAATCGTGTATTAGAAAGGAGTTTTGAATTTATGGGTATTTTTAATTATGCATTTAGGAGCTTGAGTGTGAACACTGTGGATTTTCCTTATTTGTAAACTGAAATGTCACTTACAGGTTTATGGTATTCATTTCAACATGTGGAAGGAACCAGAATGATACATTATAACTTCTCATAATATTTTTTTCTTGTTAATCACCTGCAAGGGTGCAAAATCGATCAGCATTGATAAAATAGAAAACTGGTTATGCAGACTTAAGAAGTATAAGTGATGTTTACATCTGTTTCTTGTCTTTTATCTTTTTAAACAGTACATGGAAAAATCTAGTAGCTAGCTAGATTTATTCTGTACAATAAGATGATAGACATGTTTAGTCCCGTGTGACATCTCCAGCTGCAAGCCGTATAGTCTCTGTGAAGTTTCTGTACTGCGTAATTCTGGGATTCATGATGTATCGCTGCACAAAATCAGGCCTTTCAGTATCCAAACTTCAGAATTTATAAGGCTGTTTAATTATGCTAAAGTATGAAAAATATGACTTGGCGGTGCATACACGGTACTTCTCTAAATAGTTTGTCTTAGAACTGTGTCATTACTAATGTTTTGATTGTAGTTATTCTAAGACAGAGAAGGAGCAGTGTCAACATCGCATCATTTTTCTCCCTAAAGCCATCTGCAGTCCGGATTGACAAACAATTTTTACTCAATTGTCATTAAAACCAAGGAGCCCAATTGTCTTTTCTGAAGCCTTAATGTTTTTCTGAGAACAGTCAGTTTTCTTTCTCTATTTCATCTTTTCATATGAAAGGGTTGGGGCTTTTTTTTCTGAAATCCAAAGTTACTCTCTGTAATGCAAAACATAAACTAATTCTAACTTCTTAAAATTAATAAAGGGAAGCTTAATTTAAAATTACTTTTACAAAATTATTGAAAGTATCGGGGGGGGGGGGGGGGAGATACTCCTCTAAATGCTGTTCTACAATATCACTAAGTTTAGGTACATTTCAAAGTTAAATTTGAGAGTACATTTTAAATATGATAGATTTAATAGGTAGTTCTCTGCCTTAGCAGAAAACTTTGTATCTCATCTGCCAAGTTTTTCTTACTTCACCAGAACAAGAAGGTTTTTTCCAATGGTCCCCATTTCTTTTCCAGCTGGTCCTTCTGAAACAATTTTTAAATAAAATATGGGCTGACGTTTTGAATTTTTCTGGAAGCATATCCTGTAAATAAACATTGTAAACTACAAGGGCCTTTCTGTTTTGAAAAATTGGAACAACAGGCACCCTGAACAGAAGTAAATATTCCCAACACTTTTCTTAGTGATATCTAATTAATAAGCACAGTGGTTTAATTGTAATTTCAAAGTTAAATGTTGAAGTAATGCAAGAATTCCTGATACTGCAGTGCATTTCTCTTTAAAATTAATAACATCATAGCAAAACTGTTAAAATTCCTCTTTTTTTAATAAATAATTTTTCTTAGTGAAGCTAGGCATACATGCACATAGCTTCTGAAT